TTTTTTTTTTTTTTTTTTTAATTACTGTACAATGTTGGAAGATAATCGTGATATACGCTCAGAAATATTGTATATTATCAATTTCGTGCTACATATCTATATTATTATACGTATACTTGCGTGTACATATTTTCGTTGCGCCGCATGAAAGTTTTGTCTTTTTCAGCACTGCATAACTTTCGTATCGCTTTGCGTACAGGAAAAGGAATATTACCGTGCACAACGGTATATATATACTTTTCCGCAATAGGCTGACGTATATTTCACGAGACATTTTAGCCTGTGGTTGTGAACACACATATCTTCCAATGTTGGGACATTCAATGAAAAGTCGATAGGATTTACTGCTATCTACGTTAGTCAACACCGCTACCTGTATCATCGTGTCTCTATTTGTGTTTTTGTGTTTGTGTTGTGTTTGCGTGGGCGGCAGTTGGGAGGTCATCGGCACGTTCCCCGGCTCCCAGAAACTATCCACCCCTTGGTACTCAACGCGCCTTCACTCTTCCAAACGCCGCTAGGCACTATCATTCGGTGAGTCCGAGAACTTTCCAATTTACCTACCGTTGATCTCAAGTCAAGTCCAAAATTAGCGCACATCGTAGAAAAAAGAAGCGAGACAGAACAAAGAAAGAAACAGAAACTCTCTTTCTCTTGTCTGACAACGTGACGACGTGCTGCAAGCGAATTTCATCGGTCCGAGATTCATTTTTTTTTTTTTTTATTTTTTTTTTCTCAGCGAGTTAAGAAACGAGAAAAGTAAAATGAAAACGAGACCTCTCCAAGAGCAGTAAGAAAGATCGCGTTAAGAGAGAAAAACGCTTTCGATCAACGCGATGATTCGTTGACTTGTCTTCACGGGAGGCATGCTTTTTGTTCTCATGAGCTTATTTGAAGAAACAAACGTTGATTGTACTTACATATACAATACACCCAGGTGCTGGCTTCTTCGTATATACGTATTGAATATATTATATATACATATATCTTTCTCTCTATATATATACATATACTTCTTTATCTTTTTTTTCGTTGTATACACGTACGTACTACTTTGCACAGTATTGAACGAGAAATAACGCTTGTGCACTTTGAACATCGGGTACGTTCCACCATTTTTGCCGTGGGGATGCGATATAAACAGGTCGAGAAAACTTGTACTTAAAACTCGGACAAAAGAGGGTATCTACTTGTTTTTACGTAGTGACGAATTTTTTTCTCTTTTTTTTTTTTAAGCTTTCTTCTCTTTTACCTTCGACGATTTTCTTTCCTCGTTTTGCGTCCTCTTAAAAAAGAAGATCGTCAAAGAGAAACTTCAATTCTCAACCGAGACTATAAATATATGTAAGATAGAAGAGTAGAGTGAAATCTCTCGATGATTCAATCTTGTACACGAGCGGAACCGAAACCACCTCCAGTAATTATCTTATATACAGAATCTGTGTTTTATTTTTTCTCTTTTTTTTTCTTTTTTTTTAACGAAACGTATTTTTTTGGCGAACGTTGGGCATTCGTATGGGAATGAACGATTCAATTATTCCCGTTGACACTAATCAGTAATACTGTCGATTGACTGATTTGAAACCAGTTGTGAGCTCCCTTCGGCACATCCCGAAGCCAGGGTACGGTCTGGCACCGCGAAGTCACACCTTCTCCTCGACCGGCGGTTCTGTATCTGCTCTCCCTGTAAGTCTTGCACCGCGTCACAATCGACGACCAAACCAAAAAAAAAAAAAAAGTATCTTCTTGCACCGTTGTTACTGATTTTTTACAAAATAGAAAAAGAATGAAAAAAAAATATATATCCATATATATGCTGTAGAGATAAATGATACACGTTTTAATGATCGTATCCGTTGATTAATCACGGATGCCTCGGTTGTTTCTAAGATTTGCGCTTTTCTGTCGTCTAGGGTGATTATTCGTTCAGTGGGATGGGAGACAAGACGCACAGCACTGATTTCTCATCTGGCAAATCAGATAGTGAGTAAACCCAGAAAGGAAACCGATCATACACTGACACACACACACACGTACATACTGTTATCTTGCAGTTCTTTTCCTTTTCGAAAGTACATTTTTTTCGAACCTTTCAAATTTTGTACATGCTTTTTTTTAAGTTCTAATTTTTAATTTTTATTAATTTTTCTCTCTCTCTCTCTTTCTCTTTTTTTCATTTCTTTTTTACTTCTTTTTCGTTTGATTCACGAGTAAGGAGAATTATATGCTCGTGGGAACAATTATTTTGTTCGCAATTATTCTACTCGATTATACGGCTTAATATCTTGCATGCTTTCACTAATACATCCTTGGTCTATCGTACACTGTCACTTCCTTTCTATCTCATTATTTTCCTCTCTTTAATTTAATCATTACGCCTGAGTATCACGATTCGATACGGTACGACTCCGTGTTAGATTAAAGATTGCATAATAAGTTTGATCTATTAACCAGAAAAGTTTATAGTGTGCCCAAAGTGACAGTACCTCCTACTCGCCAATAACGTGACTTCGTGACACGATAACTCTTTGATCATTGACAGCTAGTACATATTGCATAGCTTTAGAAACTGAATTCAAGTCATATGTATAATATAATCATCAAACATTTGCTTATAGTAATTTGATCGAATCAATCGTACTCCCGGTCTCTGTGAATGCTTGTTGAAAGTTCAATTGGTTTTGTTCGCCTGTTGATGCAACAGGTTAGTTTTTCTGAGTTTTTTTTTTTTTTTTTTTAGTTCTTTTTTTCCATCAATATACGGGAATACGATCGACCGATTGATAGAAACGATTGTACTTAACATAATCGAAATGGTTTGTGCAATATGGTTTGACATGGTTTTCTTTCCCATTTTTTTTCCCCCAATTTTAGTATCGACAGGCAGCATCACGGATGTGGATCGACGGGCATTGGTATGTACCACAGCCCCATACTACTCCCGGCGAATTAGCATGGTTTGTAGCTTGTTTTGCATATGAATTATATTTAACGTTGCATTATTTCATCACAGCCGCGCATTGATCGTAAAAATTAGACACTTGCGTGAGTTCTCGAGACACGGATGGTTTTGCATAAAGCCGAGAAAACTAGTGCAGACAGAATCGTTCGATTAGGTCGATAGGATTAAACGTATTTTGTACATAACGAGCGTTTGCCGGTTTGTTTATATATGTATAATATAACGTTTGTACATACGAAATTGTATATTGATTTACGCATGCACACGCTGTATATTTGCTGCGTTATTATTATTATTATTTTTTTTTACTAATATTTTTTTTTTTTTGCATCTTTCTGTACAATTTTTTTCTGCCTTGGCATACTTGAAGTTTGCATATTTGATTTGATATTTTGCGAGAAGGATCGGACACGATCGCGAGATTTTAGCTGAATGCAATGTCTTTTGATACAGTACACAATACCAAAGGCTGAAATCGGCTTGCTGATTCTTTAGACCAATAGACTCACGATATATACGTAGCTTGTTATTTTCTTTTATTTTCTCCTTACGATAACACGATGTGAGTTTCCTGTGTAAAAATCGCGATCTTCGACCGCGTGTACGAACTTCGAAGAGTTTTAATTGAAATCTTGAATCAACGCTAACGTGATACTACTAACGCGTACTTGCGGTGTTCTCACGACTTGATTGCATATTCTGCATCCGAGGCATAATCCACTGCATTCGAAACGGAAAGCGGAACTATACGCCTAAACTGAAATTAACGTGCATGAAATTGTGCGTGTGTGACGCGTGTCTCGTTGTTGTTTCGTTCTTTTTCTTTTTTTCTTTTTTTGCTGAAAGGATTTTAAAAACTTAAAAAAAGGAGGAAAGTACGTAACAACTGTAGCCACTCGAATTTCGATTTCCTATCGAAGAGCGACAGATGGGAAGATCAGTCCGTAAAATGCCAGTTCCTACCGCTCGTTTCAGTCTAGCCCTATAGTTCTGTGTTAAGCTCTGTCGAATCAGTTATTAACAGTGAAACACGGTGTTTCGCCGACGTTTTTTTTGTTGCTGCAAAATATCGGCTCTTGTAACGTGCCAACGATCGACCCGTTGCAAGACGAAAGGTTCTCGCAAATTTTCTCGCGACACGCAGACACCTCTTCCATGTCGCATCGACTCGAGCTCTGAATTGTCAAAATTCAAATTTCGTGCGAGAAGCTTTCGTACGGCTGCACCGCTATTTAACGCTCATCACACGTCGTACTGGCTCGCGTTGCAATGATACTAACGAATGTATGATGCTCCAGAATGATGGTGGTATGCTGCCATCATCCACCACGTATACAGGTGGCCTAGGTTCGGTAGTCGGAAATCATGGGGGCCATCACGTAAGGAGATCACTGCCAGACATGGGAACAGCGCCGTCCGAACCACCGAAACTCTACCCTTACCATTTACTTGTCATTACCAACTACAGGCTGCCCGCTGACGTGGATCGTTGCAATCTCGAAGTGAGTTGCAAGATAGTTGCAAGATCGAAGACTCTTAGAACAACATTCTTTCCTTATTTTATAAAAAAAACGCGAAATAAGTTCGAGACACATTAACCCTTTCTAGTCGAAGTTCAACGACTATATGTCTAGCTCTTACTTATAATTACAAATAATTCCGATCGGCGAGAGACCTATACCCGCAGCTATTACGACCGGAAAGAGTTAATTATAGAATCGCAAGATCGAAGACACCCGAAACAACATTCCTTTCCTTAGTTTGTAAAAATACGAAGTAAGACTTAGAAACGTTAGTTGACTAGATGAACTAAAGAGTAATCGTCAGATCTGACTCCTGAAACGATTGTTTCACAGATGTTTAACTGTGTTTTCCAGCGACACCTCTCCGATGCGGAATTCGAGGCAGTTCTTCAGTATAGTCGCGCCGAGTTCTACAGACTACCACAGTGGCGTCGCAACGAAATCAAAAGACGTGCCCGACTGTTCTAACCGGTGGCAATTACGCTACGTGTTCTATTTATTACCTTCATCATGTCACGACTGTATTACCGTGCTATAGAGTGTACATTCCTCCGGCGTATAAGAAAAAGAAAAAAGGGAACCAACGATTCATACTGGTTTTCTGTCACGAACATCGATATCGAACGAGGCATTATCGTCATCGTTGCGAGTGGAAAAATCGATCAAGCGAGAGAGTATCTTGATCGCACGCTCATACACTCACGAAGACACGTATAAATGCATACACACACGTTTGTCATTCACATAATGACGCAAATACATAAACTCAAAGGAGCACAGTATCGTTCAATGTCAATTTCGTTCTCTCAGCAACGAATCCACAGGCAGCTTGACTCTGATCGTTGACAAATTATTTCATCGTCACCTGTGACTTCGGTGCTTCTTTCGGGAGAATTTTTGCTGTTTAAAACGAAGAGAAAGGGAGAAGTATGTTCATCTGTTTCTGTGATTGACAGAAAAGACCTGCCATATAAATCGAAAGGCGAAACAGAAAATGGGGGAAAAAAAAAACGTTGCAACCTTCGAACGCTTGAGCCGACATTGTTAACGAGAGAAGAGGATATATTGTATGTAAATCGATTATCTATTGGCGACGACCGTTTTCTCAGATAGAAAGACGACTTGAAAGGGAAAAGGAGAGAAGAGAAAGCTGTTACTATCCTGTATCTAATATGCACACTTTCATGGCCATGAATTTCCATGGTTTGAAAAGTGAAAACGGTAGATGGGTAATAATTTTAGAGAAGTAGCTGAACGTAAGGGTGGCGAGCATCGTCTGAGGTTTTATCATTTAACAAGAACATCGTCTTTGTAACTTAGAGTTGTAACCCGCGAATGTCGACGTATATGTAATTACGCGACGGGGATATGTGCAAGATTCAAAGCGAATAAAAGAATAGAGAAATGGTAACACTCATTGATACGTACAAGTTGTTGTAAATAAACGAATCGAAAGGGAGGGAAAGAAGCAACGCAAGTACGAAAATATATACATATACGTATATGTATGTACATATATATCATTTTGAGAATTCGCTTGAATCACAAAACACATCTACTATTTGCAAGGGGTTATAACAAACGCGCTGCTATCATAGGAGCTATCATTATTATTATTAATTTTTAACTATTATTATTATTATTATTATTATTATTATTATTATTATATTTTACTATAAGAACAACATGAAAAATTTAAAGTATAGGTAGATAGGAAGTCCAGCTTGCCGGATGACATAATTATCAACGTATTTAAATACTATCGTCTATTTTGCATGTTGTTTCACTATTTTAACGCAGACGACGCATCTGTTGATAAACTAATCTATATATAGGTATAAGAGTTTCCTCAACTCGATTTCTCTAGCGATACAAGCAAAAACGTTCTGCGGTGCGGGCGGTCAGAGATATATAAAGAACGAATATATATCGCGAAATATATCCATATGTATTTTGGATAAACGAAAGTTATCGAGTAATGGAAAGATGAAAAAAGAAAAAAAAAAGAAATAACATTTACTACAGCCAGTTGTTCTATTCTGGTGCAAGTATGTTAGACGGCAAGCTGAGGACGCGAAAGAAGGAGTGTGCGTACGTTGAAATAAATACAACTGTTGAATTTCTCGGAATGGTTTGTCAAAATGTCGCAACGTTACGTTCAAAAAAGCTTGATGAAGAAAGAAGAAAAAGAAAGAACGGGGTACGTTTTCGATCTGGCAGGGGAAAAGTTACACGCGGGAATGTACGTACATACTTTGAACGAGATGAAAATTGCATTTTATTCTACACTTCGTCTCTTACCCTAAGTCATACGTGCCTATATATAAATGTCGGCGGACATTTCTGAACACGAGAAGCCGTGAGAGAGCGCATTCAACAAAGTACACGTTGTGTACGTTAGTGCAATTCCCTGCAGTTTTCTCTTGTGGCTTCGTTTACGAGGACGTGCTCCATGATCTTATGCAATGTGACTCAATGTGAGCTCGCGAAACGAAGAGGAAGAAATCATAAAAATTAAGAAAGAAAATCAGTGCCGCGTAAAGGAGTATGCTATATATTTGTGTGTATACTTCGTGCAGGAGGAATCAAAAGGGACAGAAATAAAATCTGCGTAATATCGTTTCTCGTTTCCTAGTGGTTCGCTTTTGTACACACAGTACCAATAAATTGCAATACTTATCTTTCATTTGCAGCGTTTTATCTATAGATGTTGAATTGAGACAGCTGACTTAAATTTCTGTAAATCATTTGTTCTCGAATTAGTTTCGTTTCGTTGGTTTTGTTCGTTTTCATCGCATTCTATTTCATTTTATCTTTATCTCTTGATTTTTTTTTCTTTTTCTTTTCTTTCTGTTGTCTTGTTGTCATAAGAGAAATCAAACGATTTTTACAACAATCAATGGTAAAACGAATCCTTACCATGACCGCTGTCAGATCATGGTGCACTGTTGTCATTTATTACCGTGCAATGCGAACCGATGTATGTTTCTGTTGTATAGAGCACATTGCTTCCGCTAGTCCCCGAAGTTAAATAAACGCAAACGTACACAGAAGCTGACTCACACGTCTCTTCACATTCTTAATCGATGCATTCACAGACGCGATTGATCCGTTGCTCGCATCACTTGCGTTCGTTTCACGTCTCGTCGTTGTCAAAGTGATGCACTGCGAATATGTGTGATTACCGATCCATTATTGTGCGAGAGTTTTTTTAGGCGTTCGTTCCTCTCGAATATTTTTCGCTCCAACCTTTTATTAAAACAAAAAAAAAAAAAAATACAAGGAAAATTATACATTACGATATATCATATAAACTACAATTCGTCATTCGCACTTTGGTTCATAGTAATTTCTTCGCCTTGCATAATACACTTTTGTCGATGATCATGTTTCTTACTACTATCTCGTGAAATAAATAAACCATTTGTCCCAGCGTTGCCTTTCGCAATCAGCCTTTGTTCTTTTATTATCCACTGTCTTGTGTATTTCTAGCGGTATGATCTATGAAACGTTCGACTTCTGTCGAAGAATAACGAAACCCTCCAAAACACTGGACAACGCCTCGTACTCGTCCAAAGCAAGCTCTGCCCTTTCTCCAGAGGAAAGCAACGTCGGAGTCGTGTGAACGTATCCACCAGAGATGGATTTTGGATTGCCAGCTTTACCTACAATATCAACGGTTTGTCCAACCCTCACAGACACTGGCAGACTCTGATCAAAGTACAGATTCATCAATTTCACGTGTAAATGATCCTCACGCACGAGGGAAATGATAAATGATATACCTGTAAATTCTCATCCAGGGTAACCAACCACCTGGGCTCCATTGCAAGCGCCAGACAATACATCAAATAATGAGATTTCGATAGAATCAAATTTTGACAGTCGAGAAACGCTACCAAGACTACCAGCAATCCAGCCAAGGCCGCTCTGTCCAACACCTTTGAAGCGTATCGCAACGGAGATATGGACAATGTGCCCTGGCAAAGAATTTTAATTAACTCAATCGAATCGTTCATCGACCGAGATCAGTACAGCTCACTTTGCCGAGATGGACCAAGCCTTGGGAAATTCGAACGAGAAACAAATGCATGGGGTTCTTCGCGTGATAGCAGGCTAGTTGCCTCAGCATGGTAGCAAGACGGGCGTTGTTTGTCCCAGCACCAACGAGACCGAGAGCAAAGATTGCATTGTTGGCTACGTCAGAGTCATTGTCGTGGCTGTATTTGTTTAGGACATCCAGGACTGCCAAGTCTGGATTTGACAAGGAGGATAAGCCTAGAGCGAGTGGCATTGCGCGTCTCGCAGCTATCGGGCCGTACCTCCCGATCTAGAAGACAATCCCATGTGCAAACAGTTATATACCATTGCGTGTACTTGAATTCTGGAATTTGACAATTCTTTCTCACGTTTAAAGATATATATACATATATGTCACCTGTCCGAAAATCCTGGAATTCTCCTTTCCTTCTCCCAATCCAACGACAGCGACACCTAAAGTGGCTATGGCCTGTGGCGATCCAATTTCTCTGAAGAATATGCAAGAAATTATGGAATGATCGTGTTAAATGCCAATAAATATTAGAAAGGTACTTCGATCCTCCCTGTTTCTCTTCTAACTTCTCCTTTGTCCTATTCTCAGTCACCTCGATGGCCCGAGGCCGCTGATCACAGCACGTCACAAGACTGCTAACCGCCGTGACAGGAACAGGATCATCGTTCATCGATTCCGAACAAATTCGCAACAGTCCTTGGACGATCAGTACGTCCCCTGTACCGACGTATGCACACACCTGAGACCCAACGGAAATATCTTTCAACCCTGAAGATCACAACGTTTAGTCAAAACGTTCGTATTTCGATAAGGAAGAAAAGATTGCCTCTAGCATAGTCTGTGCAGCGAGTTTATAAGGTTCGGGTAAGACTTCAAGCGCAGCAGATGGAGCGTCTATAATGTCACGGCAACCCATATAGATCATTCCCAGTGCCAGTGGCAGGAATCTACAATGATAAACGAGGTCGAAAGAACGCTTCTTCACAGTTACGTTGATACATACTCGATGAATATATTTTCATTTTTAACCTAGAATAGGTACTGGACAGCTTTTGAGGAGTAAGTTCCAGCAGTCTCTGCAGGAGTGTCGAGGAAGCTTCAGCATCCGCAGAACCAACGTTTATCAAGCCTATAGCGATTGCTCCGAGAGACACAACCTCCGTGGTACCTAAAAATTGTTCATTCGAAAAATCTCATTCTACGAATTAATCACCTAGAAACGTACTTGCTTTGTCCACCAGAACTCCCGTTAGAAGTTCCGTGACATCGGATCTTTGCGAACCAGCGTAGGCCAAACCCAGTCCCAAAACCGCTCCGATTCTCAGCACAGAATTTTCAGAGTACACGTAGTCGCTGAGAAGCGCCAACGCTGGGTCGCATTCGTTGCGAACGCCGCAGTTAACCAACCCTATCGCTAGCAACGCGCCTGCTTTGATGTTGTAATTGTTCGTGTAGAGATACCTGCCAAGTAAGCATATCTTAGTCCGCGAACGTTCGTTTTAGAAATTACAATTATCATTACGATAAAAGACGGGATTCACTTGTCGATCGGCACCAGGCCACCATCCACGTCCCACATATGTATGAGTCCCAGGGAAGCGGTTGCTGAGAGCATACCGTGGTCCTTTTAAATAATTTACCATCAGTTTGAATCATATTCGAATCGTTTAATTTCAAAAATTTCATAGATCCGTTCGAGAACCTTATTTTTGTAAACCCAACAACCGGCGGTGTTCTCCATCAGCTTGTCCTGGCCGAAGCCAGCGTGAACGAAACCGGAAACGAACGACGCTGCTAGGTTGGCCCTCGCTGAGTCGTGTTCCGCTCGTCTCAGAGTATTAGTTTCTAACCAGGTTTTATAAATGTCGTCCGGGTGTTTGGGTTCCAGGATGTCGAGTTCCCTCGCGAGTAAGTGGTAATGATTATTGACGTGGCCGTTGCTTAAAATGGCTTCGATATCCTTGGCATCGCCTCCTTGATAATCTTTTTTTAACGGATTCCCCTGACGAGCAATAAATTACACAAACGAAAAATTGTATTTTGTGAATGGCTGGCGTATAAAATTCCGACAAGTTACCCTTTGCCTCACGAGTATAAACGACAATTGTTTTCGCATTACATTATCAGAGCAAGTGGTGAGACACTTGTGCACGAGATCCGAATCTCCCAATTGAAGGGCTATTAACATTGCTTTGCAGTGTTCTTGAAATCGTAAGTAATGATCGGCCACGATCTGCAATATTTGCCTTCTTTCGATGTCCTCGCTGATCATTTGAAAGAAACAAAAAACGAGACGAAGTTCTCGAAATCTGTCGTCGTATTAGAAAATTCACCTGTAGGCTGCACAGCTCTCCAAGTATCGACACACTCTCTCAAAGTTTGTATTATCCAGATATTCGTTTAAAAAATTCAACTGGTCGATCTCCAAACATAGATCGCACCCAGCTATTTCCGCGTTGTGCTTCATGTCGAACTTTATGATACCTTTCACCAAAGGGGTGAGCTTTGTTCTGTACGGACGGGGAAAGGAAACAAACAAAATAAGTTTTATTCTCTCACTATCGCCGTTTCTGAGTATCTAAGGTACCTGATACTATCTTCGTCCTTCACAGGAGCGTTCGTCCATTCGTCTACAATTTCAACTTCGAGCTGCCGGACGTACTCGTGACCCCATTCGCCAGGCTTCGTCACTTTACTCTCGATGCAATATCGTAGACATTCTTTAGAGCTTGACGGTGCCCCGGCCATCGATAACACGCTCAATACCTCCGCGAATTGTCGTTTTAAATCCTTCCTCTGAATCTTCTTGTACGCGTTCTTCATATCATTGTACGAATTCTTTAAATATTTGAGGGGTTTTGGAACGGAAGTCATCGATGTTGTCGAGGTTTGCATAAGTAATCGAAGTTGGCTCAGAGATATCAGCATCGCATCTTCGTCTTTCCCCTCGCATTTTAACGAATAAAGAACACATAATCGATTGAATTTGAATTCGAATTTTCTTCAGAAACTGACAGTTAAGAGAATGAATTAATTATTACCATCAATACGTCGACTAACTGCAACAGCTCTTCTTGCAGCCGTTTGTCTTCCTCGTCCTAACAGACGTTTCGTTATTGGTTAAAAGCAAATCGAGAACTTCGTACTGTTTAGTTACGTGATCTGTTTACCATTTCTTTTTGCTGGCCGACTTTAGCCATTGTTGCAGAGCTCTCCAAATTCTTTTTAGTCAACTATTCTTTCACGTATAATTATTATTTATGTTTACAAAATTGATGCAAATATAACGCTTTCTCGGCTCTCCAAATAACACGGATTCGATTCTCTTCTTTTTCGCTTGTCAGTTATACAGAGAAGTCGTCAACGCCTTCGCCAACCTCTCGAATTTCAGTGTTCGCGTCTGACACGAACAGACTCGTACTACTAAAGCATTACGATCGAGGCACGAGAAAGGCTTATGCAAAGTAAGGCGTAATACTTCAAAGTAATTTATTGTAACAAAAGTATCGTAATTACATTGTTACGTATAATCAATATGTATATATACAGTTTCGTTAGATGACAATCCGAATGGAAGAAAAATATGTATACACATATAATGTATATTCATGTATACTTATGCAATATTTATATATAGGACATCGTCGATTAGAAGTTTCCAAGCTTGATTCCCTTTGTACCCTGATTACGCATTTATAAAACGTTCTATCACATTCTCTCATTGCTTCGTACATTTTTCACGATCATCATACTCTATTTTAAACATCTGCTTCGCTGACAATCGCGTGGAAAATCGTTATCGTACGATCTGTCTAATTGTGCATCGCTTCGAAAGACCTCGCGAAACAATACGCGTTTCTTCAAATTGATTTTTTTCCTCTGTGAACATTGTAATTCCCTCTGAACATTCAAACGAGAAAAAAAGAATCAAAGATAATAATACGTTCTGTGGAAATGAAAATTCCATGCACCGGGTAATTCGAATGCAATTTGGCCACGGTTCTTCTTTCCTCCCATATACCCGTATACGTATTTCTTTTTCTCTCTTACGATTTTCTACAATCGCCTCATCTTGAACATACCTTAGGGGAAAAGTCTTATTGCTCTTTGAAATGAAGGAACATTCCAGGAATGATTCTACGTCTAGCTCCGCTTCCTTAATCAGAACGAGGAACGCCCAGGCGCGCTGGGAATCACTGTTGCATACAAATTCACGCGAAGAAAAATTAATTTCTATCAGTGACGACGATTTCATATCCTCGAGAAGTTTATCCACGGACGACAGTTTTCGTGTCGTGCGAAATAAATCTTGCCTTGGTGAAATTCGATCAAGGCACTCGGCTTTTCATCGCGGCGAATATGCATGTGACCGATTTCGATCGTTCATCTACTATGCACACGATCGATGTATTTACTTTCGTGTCTCCTTGTCCTTTTTTTTTTTTTTTCACTTTTGTTTCGCTATTCGGCACGCTTCGACAAACGACCGCGTTTCATTCGCGTGAATATCTTGTTAAATCACTTTAGAAAGTTACTTTTTTCTTCTTCTCTGATATCTTTTTTATTTTTCTTTCGCTCGACATATGCATCGTGCTAGGCTCAATGAATTTTTTCTTTTTTTTTTTTTTGTACGTGAAAGATATGTATGTCAAACTTGATTAACTATTACTCGTCGATATGTTTCGTCTTTTCGCCCGTCAATTAGAACACCTTAATTAACACGTGTTACAACAGTACATTTGGCACATCGTGTTTAAGGTTATCGCGTAAATGCAAACAAAATACAATTGTCAAGAGAGAAAGCAGTGCACACACGCGTGTCACCGATGCACACGGAAAGTTCTTGCGGTATTTTTTTACGTCGTGATCGAAACGAACGGTTCAAACGCGTCCTGCAGATCGAAATACATAAATACATCCGTAGCTGGATCGCTTGAATAACAAAAAAAAAAAAAAAAAGAGGAAACTACGGACACGCGTGGTTAAACTAGAATCGCCTGTTCTCTTTATCGATACTTGAATGGAAATCGCAACTATCGGTTCACGATAATGAACATTATGCTTAAAAAAAAAAAAAAGAATCGACGTTTAAACCTAACATGACGAATCCTCGCGAAATACTAGTTTACAACTAGAAAGGGAAATTCGTTGAAGAAACATATGAAATACTAGAAAAGAAAAAGAATGACCTCTGTGCTATTATATCGAAAGAAAATAAGAAATGTGTACAGCAACGATAAAACGTGTCGTCGATTCCGCTCGATCTTTTGTTTCGACGAAACGCACCACTCTCTGGTTGAAACGAATCGCAAAATACTATAATAACTTTACAACGTCGTTTCCGGTTACAGGAACGCACATCCTCTGTTTCCTTCATTGTGCGTTTCTCTTTCTAAAAACGAGATAACAAGCGTAACAATTTCAAAAAATACTTTTCCACGCGTAAAACAATTTCAAGTTTCGTAAGACTACTTATTCTTAATTATATATAGGTAAAGGTGACAAAAAACAAGGAGTGATGCGAGTCTCCGCGAATCTTTGAACAATCGCATACAAAATAGGAATGTGCTCTCTCTCTCTCTCTCACACACGTACTTTCACCATCTCTCTCTTTAGTTAAAAATAAAACATTTCTCTCCAATTCCCCAATCACAGTTCCCGATCACAGAAACTCCACGATCCAGTTCGATGTGTCGTTGGCGAGTTGTTAACTCGAAAAAATTCTAACTGCGTCATTTTCCTCTTCTTCTTCCTCTTCTTTTCCTCTCTTCTTTTTCTTCTGATCTCCACCTGAACGTGCATAACACTCATCTCAGATAAAGATCGATCGCAAGCCCGCGGAATTCCCGCGTGCAAATCGCCCATCCGTTTCGCTCTACGATTGTATGATCTTTCGACTAGATCGGAGAAGACTCTCCGACGACTCTTTTTTTGCGATCTCTCTGCGATTTTCCTCGTCAACACGATTCAACACGAGCGACGATTGATCGAGAACGGAATACGTGCGATTATTTCATGATCAGTGCAACGGAACTCGTCCTCGTAAATTAAACGTATCTAACACGGCGTTAAATTATTAAATATTATCATACTTGGGAGTGGGGAGGGGATACGAGGGTTCGCTTAAAATCTTAATACGTACAAAGGAAACGACACGCACGTTAAACGGCTAAGGTCGCTCGAGGAATAAATACATTTAGTAACTATTATTGCGCGTACGTGGCGAGAAACACGGAATACAGAGATGGAATCGTCGAGTATCGTTCGATAGCTGTTCTCCGTTAAAGACTAATCTAATTTACTCGTCGTCTCTGCTTCGTTTACATACTGTTCGAACAGATTGTAAAATCTGCATAGAACGGGATACTCGTTCGAATCTCCGTGACGTTTCCCTCTTTTATACGAAAAGTTAACAATTTCATATTGCATCGAACGCACGTCTCTTACATCTTATCCTGTGTGTGTGTGTGTGTGTGTGTGTGTGTGTGTATATATATATGTATGTATACCTAAAAATGCTGAGCGTTTCTACGATCCTAACGATTAAAAAAAAAGTATAGTGTCCACTCGTCACGTTTCGCGGGTGGAGATGATGCAAAATCATCGCGACTCATAGTCTTTGGCAGTATGTGAAGACGCGCTTATACGTACATATATGTATGTACATACGTATGCATGTAGAAATAGGAATACGGAAGAACGATTCGACGGATATGGTCGGTCTGGTACGCGAACAAGGACGAAATCGAAGTCTCGAGATTGTCCCCGAAACGTTTACGAAACCGTAATACTGTTTTTCACTGTTTACTCGAGTCGCCGAACTCTGGTATCTCCGGATGCTCGCCGCTCAGCTCGTTTTGAATCTGCTGCAGGCTCTTCCCTTTCGTCTCCGGCAATATGAAGAACGTGAACAACACGCTCAGCACGCAGAACACGGCGAACAGCCAGTACAGCAGGTATTGGCCGAACACCTGCTGCAGATCACTGGCGAATTTGGTGATGAAGAAGGAGACCAGCCAGCAGACGGACACCGTGATCCCGGAAGCTTTCGACTTCACGTTCGACGCGAACATTTCGCCCATCACGGTCCACGGGAGCGGTCCCCAGCCTATACAGTACAACGCGATGAAGATGACCAGCGAGACGATAGGAAGCCACGATATGCCGCTAACGTCCGATTTTTCCACATCTTGGAGGAACATGTAGAGACCCAGCGCAATCTACAAATCAAAGAGAGACAACTATAAATGAAAGATGTTTCCGTTCGAACGAGACAAAGGTATGATGAGCTTGTTTCTCTGAAATGTGAAATTACTCTTTTAAATGTTGGGATTTTTAAGTGATGAAATATTTGGTAAGATGCTTGAGTGTAGCAATTCTTTGGTGAGCAGGTAAAAGAGCATAAATCAGAATTGTCAGTGTTAATCGTTGTATAATATTTAAAGTGCAATGAATTTAAAGTATTCTTCATTTTACATTAAAACATATGTGTGTCCTTTCTCGAAAATGACAAGTTATATTGCTCGTACACTTTTACCAGCCCACGAAAGAATTAAATTTAATACAGCTCGGCTGTAATTAAAATTTAGAACGCGGCGACAACGTGATACGTCGATACGACTTTATTTTCTTGTACGGTAATTAATCCGACACGCGTTCGACGATCCTCGCAACGCGAAGGAGACGTAATCGCGATTTAATGACGCCGATCCGTCGATCCGTAAATAAAATTAGCGCTGGCGGTAATTAGCCGCGTTCCAGACATTCCCGGACACGTTTCTCGCGTCCCGATATACCTCGATCAACTTTTTTTCCTCGTCGTTTTTTTTTCCTTGTCGTTTTTTTCCTTTTTCCTTTTTCTTTTTTTTTTCTTTACCTTCGTTCTCCCCTCGCCGCGACGTTACGAGATTTAGATAACGCAACGTCACAGCTCGCGAAGCAACGATCGATTCCTGCGTGCGCGTGCACGTAACGAGACATTGACATTGGTTGCGGCCGCGGATCGGTGCAACAGTCTACTGCTGTGGATAATTAACTGTTCGACCTCATAATTCCACATGCGTGAAGTCATCGGAACAGCCGGCGATTTCCTTGTCGATACGCCACTGCTCCTACTCTGTGTTTACGGAAAGTTTCTTCCAGGCGGGTTTCGCGAACATTATAATAAACAAGGATTTTTTTTGACCGTTTTGCGTTCAACACCGAGGGAAATTGCGCGAGACAAGAAACGACCTACGTACGCGTGAGAAATTTTGTTTGTTTATAAAAGGTGGCGAAACAATTTTGTTTTTTATTCGGACGACCATGCCTCAAAAAGTGGGACACTTTTCATTCCCACCAAAGTGTCGATTAGATTAGTATAGATATGCTTGAGCAGTTCAAGGTTCGGCGAGTTGACCGATATTTGAAAAGCAGCCGAGAATCTATTCGAAAGATTTGTGAATCTAGAAATAGAAAAAAAATCAGTCAGAGGATTCGTTCACTATGATCGTGATTCGTTACTGGACATTTTTCTAGATTCTTCAAGCACATAGTACGAAAAATTCCAATGCGTATTTCTACACGAAACAAGATTCTATTTTCGAAAATGTGGAAACACGTAAAAATTTAACGAAACTCTTTGACAAGTTGCATGAAAAGAATTAATCGGTAATTTCGAAGATCAGCTAATAGACATTCGTCGATAAAGATGACTTTGTCGTAGCGCAACCAAACGTAGGAAGTAAAACGAGGTGATTTATACGACGAATTTTATCGATGCTTGGATCGAGAATCGATTAACAAAGATAGTTTGCCTGCTGGGACTGTCGATAAAGGAAAGAACGAAGATCGGAAGCAAACGACCTCGACTCCAAGACATGTTCTGTTCGCGTTATTATACAGTTACGGTAGAATGCGGCGCGCATCAGGAGTACGTCTGCACATGATCGCGAGGTTACATAAATCGATCTGAATAGGCGTTGCAAGGTCACGATCGATTTGTTGCCATTATTTTGCAATACCTGTGAAACGTACGCAACGGACAGTGAATCAAGGCCGCAAAGAAGCGCATTTAGTACACGAAATCGTTGCGAAATCCTCTAGGTCATCGTGGTAATTATTCTCTCTCTCTTTCTCTCTCTTTCCGTTTGGTTCGACAATTCGTCAAACTGCAATTGTGACTCAGAACGCTACGTAGATACGATCTGGCTGCTAATGCAATTTGTCAGTGTTACTAATTAATTTCGAACGAGTTGTCAATCTCGTAGAAACAATTAGAGTCGTTGAGATGAAAGACGAGATTGTTTGCGTACGACTGTCTTTTTGACAAGAAGAAACGTAGTTTTCTTGCTGTTTCAATTGGTGGGAGTGCACGATCCACGTGATATTGGCATCTTTCACTAACAAACGAATCGTCATCTTGGAACATTTCAAAAAGGAATCGCACAGACGACGTAAGTTGCACGCGACAAATCGATCAGGCATCAGTCAGGCTCTTGCTGAAACGAAGTATGACCTTAACCCTTGCCCCACCCACGCATCCCTGCGGCATTATGCAGAGGTACTTCAAACGAAACAATCGAAACCACGACAAATATTTATGAAATACCACGAAAACGATGTGTCACGTAATTAGGTAACCGATCGAGAAACATGATTGTGCGATATGTCGAAGCACATATCGTCACTAACGACAAGCCTGTTTAAAAGTTACCGGGAAACGAGAACGCAACTCGATGTTTTGGTATTGCACCGGCTGGAATGACGATCCATTGCATTTTGTATACCTTAATAATCGCGGAATAATTTGTTGCCATTAGCCGATGTTTCCAAGCGTGAAAGAAGCCTTTACAAAATATCGTTACGACATCAGAGGAGAGGATCGTACTTTTTGCTTGAAGCTTTCGTTCAATTCCACGTGCTAGCATTAACGAGATTAAGACATTGTTTCATTCGTTCATTGATTCCTCATGAACAGTTTGCAGAAGTGTTGCAAGTTTGTTTCCGTGCCACCTGGTGGAGCAGTGTCTTGCTTTTCATTTGACAAGATCCAGTAGCAAGTAAATTTTGTGAAAGGAAAAACATGGTAAACAATGTAACGAGATAAATGAGATAAATATGGATTTAAGAGATTGTTCGCTTACCAAGGAGACAATTTCGCCGATTCCGGAGGTAATGAGCAGCATCCTCCTGCCAAGTTTGTCACAGATCAGTGGCGTGATACCAGAAGTGGCCGTCTGAACAGCACCCACGATGATGGTTGATATCGAGTCAGGCAACGCGCTGTGCGCAGCTTGGAAGATTGATCCCATGTAGAAAAGGACAACGTTGATGCCGCTGCATTGTTGGAACGCGACGAGCAAACACGTGAATATCAAGGCTTTAAGGTTCGCCTTCACTTTGAATAAATCGCTGATCTTTGCTTCGTTCCTGAACGCGTCGTCAATGGCAGCCTAAAAAATGAAACGAACAACTGATTGCAATTGGCTCGTCGTCCATACTTCGACGCAGAGCGAATACTGAAAGAAATCTTGAATCATTCATTTCATTGATAAATCGAAGAAAAACCGGAGCACAGCTTTTTTACGCGAGCTTAAGCGCAAAAATAATAAGGAAAAAAAAATAATCAAAGAAGAGATTGAGAAAGCGTTGTGTAATATAAGTATCATTGATGCAACAATTTGCATACACAGTTCGATCACCGGTCTATTGAATTTTAATCGTGGGCCAACGAGAATCAAAAGATCGTACGCGTGACAATCGCTTCGCCGTAGACACGTGACGCGTTAGTCACCCGACTACGCGATTCAATAGCATAATATGTAGAGGCACGTTGAAGGAACGCCGTTACCATTGGCGGATCAAGAAACGACCTTACCCCCGGCCTCGTTCAACGAACGTGACCCGAACGCCGATACGATATTATGCTGCTGGTTTGCAACGCAATCAGGTCTTATCATCCGCACTCTCGCCTTCGTTTTCCACATTTTTTGGTAAAATTCCTGTGTTTAGGGGGTACGTTTTATCAATCCTTTTTATCCGTCTTTCATATACATATATATATGTTTGTATATATATATATATAACTTTGTTTGTGTTTATCGTTTGCTTTTATATATACGATACGACGTAAAAAATGATTAATTCACGTCTTCTTCATCGCCGCTCGTATGAGAGAGTACAGTGTATTAATATTTCTACGTTATCAGTACCACGCCATCGATCGTTCGTTCGACAATTATTTTTAACCATCCGTTTCCCCTTCGACATCGCGAGACGATCTTGAGACCTCGATACGCTCTCAATAATTGTAAGACGACGGTCGTCAACGTCGAGATCCATGGGACACGTGACTCGGACGAGCTCCCCTGTCAATTGACGGCGACCTCTCCGACGCGACTTGATGAAAATTATTCTGGTCTCGGGAGCGTACGAAAATAGCCAGGATCACGGCGGAAATCGGAGTTCAACGAACGAATCAGTTGACGAGTGCAACTGACTCTAAGCTATTCGCGGCTCGCCTGCTCTCCGTTATTAAACTCCCGTTTGCATGTATTTCGCGTACCTGTATTTCGTCAGCTTCCTTCTGCACGCTGGCCGGTGACTTTTTTCGCAGCTTGGCCAAAGCTTGGACCGCCTCCTCTCTCTTGCCGATCTTGAGCAAGTGGTACGGTGACTCGGGCATCATGAAAAAGCAAGCGAAGAACACCACCGGTGGAATTGCGCAGATTATCGCGAACGCCACGTAGGAGACGAACGGGCCGATAGCGTACGCATACAGGAGGCCGATGGTGACGAACAGTTGCAAGAATGATCCCAGAGCTCCTCTGACGGACGTCTAATCGTAATCATGTGGACACAAGATCGAACGTTAATCGAGCGCCGATTGCAACGAAGGACTCGATTAGAGCGAGTAGAAACGACGTTTTACCTCGGCGATCTCACCGCAGTACATGGGCACGACCGTAAAGGCGAAAGCTAAAGCAAAACCAAGAATTATTCGGGCCACGAACAGCTGATAGACGACGCCGGCTGTTGCGATTAAGACCCAGCCGATCAGAAATGGCACCACGGAGGACAGAAGCGTCATTTTTCTACCCCATCTGTGACGAATTGAAAAAAAACAAATTAGAACAAATTCTGATGCGAATTGCATGTATATTTACAATAATGTCTGAGTTTCAACTGTTTTTGGGATCAACTACTACGCTGGATTAACCCCTTGCGCTGGCAACTGGTTCGCGAACCGTAACGAGTGACCGAACCGTATACAATATTATTAATTATAATTAATATTAATAATATTATTATTAGTTAATTATAATAATAATTCGTCGCTTTCTTTTTCTTTTGAACTCGTCGGTATCATATCACTGGATAGAAATTATTAATTATTATCATTTGCTTTGATTATATTTAAACATACTTAAAACTGAAAAAATGTTGCAATTTGGGACGTGCACGGCACGTCATTCCAGCGCAAGAGGTTAAGGATTCAACTTACAATTAGAAATACTCTTTGGATCTATCGCTAGTACTGCACACGATTAGATAAATAGAAAAATAGCACTACCTTTCCGCCAAATATCCAGCTACGAAGCTGCCAATAATCGCTCCCACGGAGATCAAGGAGCCGATCCAAGAGTTCTCGTCGGCGGTGATTTTTCTGCCGAGGGGATTGTCTTCCAAAGTACTCCCCAGGTTTGGTAACACCGGACTCGTCCATCCTAGCAAAGCTCCGGACGCGACACAGCACAGATTTGCTGAAATCACAGCATTCGGTGCCGTTAATTATCGGATGCAGAAGTGCGAGGAAGATGATAACGATACATGTTGGAAGACGATGTAACCGGTTCGGTTCGACCTGATTTTACGTGGTCAAAAATAGACGATCGACAAAAGTGTACGATAACGAGCGATCTTCTTCGAGTACAAATTTTCCGCGTGCACAATAGTTACGGTCAGTTTGCGTTCGCTGGCAAATCGATCGTCGGTCACGTTTCTCGTCTACGATTTCCCCCGTTACCCGCATAATCGAAAATGCGTTCCGCATAGATTCGTACGAGAGAGAGAGAGAGAGAGAGAGAAGAGAACAAAGATAAGGCAATACGAGAGAAAGAGAAAAAGAAGTAGAACGATTCCCGGTCCATTTGTTCGAGCTTCCCGAGCTACGAAATCGCCGAGCAGCTGTGGAATAATTTGCCCGCGGCGCCAGCGATAACACGGTCAAAAAACACATGGACAATGGCTCGCGCGAGAAGATAAACTCTCGTCAGTGAATTTTTCCATCTTCGTCCGGTTCGCGAGTCTGTTATCGAGTTTGTGCTTGCGCTGCGGAATTTCAAGCTCGTTTCTTCATTGATACGTTACGTAATTAACGCGAGCGATTAATCGCCGAGCGAACGACGGCTATCAATCATGTCGTTAAAGATCGTACGTCCTCCGCGAAACGAGAAAGAAAATCGCGTTGCGATTTGTCAAGAGTAGTGGCCGTCAATCGTCGATGATAACCTAACTATCGACCACCTGTTGTTTTGTCTTTGCTTATCTGCCTCTTTTTCTAGACGATTCGTTCGTCTTTTCTGTTTCTCTGTCTCTAGTTTTACCTCCTGTACATTGTTTTTCTCTTCACTGGCATACAGGCGAGTGTTACTTTTTATTACGCACGTGTTTAATCACAGGTAAACTAGATTAAAGCAATAAAAAAATAGTTGAATTTGCAGGTGCAATTTTGTCCTCCGTGTAGAGGTGATATCGTTGAGGATAACATTAATCAGGAACGTTTAGTTTGGTTAAGCAAATACACTCGGAGGTGTACGTACAATCTAGTTTAACCCTCAATTAATGGTCGTGATTTTATAGTGAATGACATGCAAGACTTCGACACAAGTTACTTAATACTAGATTTTACTTCAGTTTCTATCCTCGTCAGATATCGTAAAAAATGAAATTCTAAATCATCACGATCTCTTGTGATTGAAATGTTAAATAACATAACATCTAGTACATTTATTAATTTAATTGAAACTATTTGATTTGTTCGTTTCTGTTTCTTTCCCACTTTTCTAGCTTTTCATTTTCTTTCCACATCTTCGAAGATTTGTCCAAACTCATTCGATTTAATTGAATCATGCCTACTACTACTAATGTGATTAAGCTGTTTATTTTAATTTGTTTAATATTTTCACTTCACTTTCTCTCGTACCTTCGGAGTGTCTCTCTGTGACAGGACAAAATACTATCGTGTTATCGCGTTATCGTCGCGATCATCGTCATAATCGGAATATAACGCGACAGCTTCTTGTATCCCCGCCTCCACTTCCGCCGAAATGCGATCTCCGAAAGATGGGAAACTCGGCGGCATATCCGCGTGCGAGACGCCGCGCGGCTTTACATGATTGTCAATTTCAGAGACAACGTTTCAAGGACCTCGGAATCGCTCGTCGACACGTGCGAGAACCTCGATTCCTCCAGTGAATTGAAATTATCGGGATATCGCGGCTGTTTGAACAGAACGAACAGCTCCGATTGTTCGATGAAATATTCAACGGAGCACAAACAGACGAAGAACTCAAATGGATGAAATTAGATGGAATTGAAATTGGCTGATTACGTTAAAGTGGATCGATTACGTTAATTTTGCCATATTTCAGCTAGAATTAGACTGGTTGAAGGTAATCGGCGAGTTGCGTAAAGCTCTTTAACTTATCGGTGGAAACGGCTTCTTGTCTGAAGCTACTGTGAAATCTCTCGATCAAGTGGTCGATCAATGTTGAAAGAAATTGTTGAGAATATCGGAGCAAGAGGATATTGAAATCACTGCTCCATATAGTCACGCTATAGCAAATGGAACAGACATTGAATGGTCAGCTGGTTGTAAAATCGGGTGAAACTACTGAAATACTTCGAAAACGTTTTAGAAAATACTCCAACTTAAAACAGATCCAATTCCGGCGACTCACGTTCATTATATTCGAAACGGATGATAGACTCGGCAGATTTTCATTCTCCACGGTCGTTCGCAAACTTTTGAACAACATCGAAGTCGCGAGTCACGCTCGAAGGCGAGTTTGTACGTACACATGTGATTGTCAAACGCAACGAAACAATACGTTACGTTGCATTCGAGAGCAGTGCAACGCGATTTACGTAATCGTTCGCGTCGCGGAATCGTTCTTATGTCATCGGATCGCGTGCGGCGCTCCAGTGGGAAAATAAAAATAATCGCGCCGCGATTCTCGCGGCGAATCGCTGGTCGTCGCCTCGCACGTTTCGCAAACAAACAAATATTCCACCTCGCACACTTCCGTTTCGCTGTTCGCCATTCTGCCGGGAAAATTTAGAAATTAAGTTTGCCTTTTGTTTTTTTTTTTTTTTTTTTTTTTTTTAATTTAGAACACCTTTCGTTGCAAATGTTAAATATCAAATCGATAAATCGGGGAATTACGAGCAGGCGTGTGGATGTTCCTGTAATCTTACACTTGGAAATAATTGAAACAATTGGATTGGACGGTTGATTTGAAATAACAATTGAATGGACGAATCGAAAAAATGGAACTTTGGTAGAAAATTATTCTATTACTAAGAAATATTCTACTATAAGAAATATTGTAGGAAACACTGTGGTTTGAATATTTTATAAATTATTTGCAAGTTTGTGCTTTAAAATTTCCTGTAAATGCATAAAAGTCCGCAGTTATAAGTGAATATCGCTTCGTATAATTTGAACGAATTAATTCCTCGTAAGGATAAAAAACGTTGAAAGAAAGAAAAAATTCATTAATACCGGCACTTCATTAAATATCGTGCAAGTGAATCGATGAATTTCTCTCGCCCAACAGCCAGTGAAAAACCGTCCAGTAAAGCAACAAAAAGCTTCACCATTGGAACGTTTAATCACCATAGTTCGACGATATTGTAGGGGCAACAGCATTTAGATGAGACGGAATTATCGTATTAACGAGTCAATCAAATCTCTCTGTGTTCTAATGGAAATGATTAACATTACCCGGCGACAAATTTCCTTTCATTCACACTCACTGTGTCGAATGGAAATTCGATCCCTTTGGTCGATCGCGAACGAATTTATCGATTACTGATCTCAGCTATTGGCCTCGCTAACTATCTCTCTACTAATTGTTGTCATTCGCGACATTTGCAAGCGTTCAACGATTCCTTATTCCATCGATCCCTTTGAAGAGACGCTTTATCGAATTTTTCGATCGTCGTGACAAAAAAAAAAAAAAATACTTTTCAATGACAATTGAAAGAAACGAAGAAGGGGATGAAGCGAAAGAGAAAATAATCTTTGTTATCGATTCATTTCCTCTTAATCATCACGATTTGCGCTATCGTGTTTCGCCAGTTTCCTTTTAACCTCAATTTTTCAGCTGATAAACTCGTCGCAGAAACTCGACGAGTTCCACGTACACGGCGTTGTAAACCTTTTCGTTTATTGCCACGCAATAAATCTGCACTCCAGCGAGCATGAATGGATATCGATCTAAATACTCTAAGTTTTTAGACGATTTTAATCACGCCTCTGCAAACATTACGTTCATCAGATTATATGAAATCGCCACATTCTCCAGATTGTAGGAAATCGCCACGCGCACTTGGAAATCGTTATCGTTTTTTTCCTAATCGTGATATCGTAACTCACGGCTGCATAGACTTCCGGTATTGGTAACCCGGAGTGAGTGGATACTTGGATTTTTCGTTGTCGACGCTTCGTTCGAACTAAAAAAAAAGGTATTGATAGATCGATATCTACGATTCGTCGGAAGCTATAATTTTTAACGTGTCTCCGTATTTTTCTTGTTCGTAGACAAGAAAGTCCATTATCAGTAGAAAAACAATAATCGTTTATCTACAATCTATCGTTTGCAAAGTTCTTCGAAAGAAATTGCAAACTGCGTCGCTACAAATTAAAGCGGTTCGGCAGAAATCACCTCGACACTGTCGTGTTAAAATTCAATTCAGTTTGGTTTGACAAATGAAAAAAAAGAGTTTCAACGGTATTCAACAGTCAGGCATCGATTTCGTGTATGTCCGAAATATAAATATACAATAAATTTTCTTACAACGTACATGTAGCTAGACTATTTTTGTGCAACTTGGTATCGTTATTGTTGTTTATAATTATTTGATTCAAAATGAAAATCGCAGATTCGGACTAATAATACCTGTTGTTTTCGACCAAGTCGAACGTTTACGTTTCGAACATTGAGGAAATTATCTAGTCGATAAGAACGTTCATAAACTTGAGAACGTTGCGACATGTGAAGCATTCGACAAGGAAAGAAACGATCAAGAGGTTGGGAATACCTCTGACATTCAGTCGTGTGTATCGATAATGCGTAATTTTTCTGAACTTCTTCGTCCTGCAAGAACAGAATAATGGCAATTCGCAAACAACACGCAATAACACTACTTGAACGAGTTATTATTATCGTTAAATTACCATTTCTTCGACAGTATATCTCGTATCGAGATAAAACATATTTACATATTTACACGTATCTAATTTGCGCAAACACTATTTGTTTGTTCAATTTTCCGCGACGAAGTGACACATTCGTCGAGAGATCTTTCTGCGAGTTCGAAACCTTTGATTCGAATATTTTCGTTTCAACGGGAATAATGGCGAAGGATTGTTAGTGCCAATTAATTCTTCCGGACGTTTGCGAGAATATTCGTTATTGAATCGACTCGACTGTTGTTAGCTCGAAATGCAATAAATAATTCCCAGTGCGAATAACTT